GATGGATGGATGGATGGATGGATGGATGGGTGGATGGATGGATGGATGGGTAGATGGATGGATGGATGTTTAGATGGATGGATGGGTAGATGGATGGATGGGTAGATGGATGGATGGATGATGGGTGGATGGATGGGTGATGGGTGAATGGATGAATGGGAGGATGGGTGGATGATGGACAGAAGGATGGATCCTGCAGATGGAAGAGACACTAGTTTTATCTCATTGATGGATTTCATTTCAGACAAACTTTGGGTTCTGGAACTGCTCCGTGTATTTGTGGAAGACTACCTACACCTGCTGTGGTGGAGAGTCACATCCTGAGCTTATGAGCTGCTGAGAGTATTGGTTGAGGCATGGGACAGCGAGTGGCAGATGACCCCATCCGCCTGCATGGAGGACGAAGTGAGGAGAGCAGACTCCAGGGGTCTGCAGAAGGGAGCCAGGGCACAGGGAAGGCAGGCGGAGCCATTCTCTGCACCTGCGGCCACCACTGCTCCTTCTCTACCAGATCTGACAGACACGTCTGCTTTGGCCTCTGACCCCCCGCCAGTGTCTCCCGGCCTTGGATGCCACAGTCCTGGATCTGACCCTAGGAACTGCCACTCTCGAGCTGTGTGACCTGGCCTACCTGACGGAGCCTCGGTTGTGAAACGGGGATAACTGCAGCCCGCGTCACAGAGTTGGGGGAGAGGAAAATGGAAGGGCCCCCCATGCCCCTTCGACTCCTCGGCTGCCGTAACGAGGTGCCGTGGTGGAGAGGCTCAGTGGGACGGGGGGTGCTCTCCCAGTTCCCGAGGCTGAAGTCCAGGACGGGAGCCCGGCAGGTCCAGTGGCTGCCCAGGGCTCCTTCCACGGTGCGCATCCCCCTTCTGTCTACACACCTGGAGACGCAAAGGATGGCCCTGGGGCCTCTTTCACAAGGCACTGGCCACGCTCCTGGGACTCACGACCTCGCCACCTCCCAAGGGCCCCTCTGGATCCCACCCGTCGGGCCGAGGCTCGGTGCGAGAATCTGAGGGAGCGCACACAGCCCGGGACTGTGGCTCAGTGAAAGCCAGCGCTCGGGCCTGGGTGACCTGGGACCCTGGTGGACGCACCCGCCTCCCCCAGTGCCCACCGCACTGCCCTCTGCGGGCCCAGGGCTTCCTCTTTTGGGGGAGAGAGGTGGGCTGGGAGCGTGCCCGCTGTGAGTGTTGCTCCCTCTCTCAATGAGGAAGGGCCAAGGACTGGAAAACCCCATGGCCAGGCCCCTCCCGGCTCCCCACCTCTGTGCCGGCCTCTGTTGCCCTGAGCAGCCTGGAGAGGAGCCTGGTGGGGGCCTCCCGAGGGATGGCCGTGGCACGGGAAGGAGGGCGGTCCCAGGCCGGCCCTGCTACCTAGGCGAGGGGACGTTGCTGCTGAGAGTCTGGTCACTGGTTTAATAAGAGATGCTGAGCTTTGTGCGGAGGGTGCCGTCCAAGCCCCGGGGACACCTGGGGCCACCGACCGCAGCCACCTCATGGGTATTGGCGCTTTGCTCCAGACTCAGTGGCCATCAGGTCTGGCCCACAGAGGTGCCTCGAGAGGCTGCCACGGCACTTCCCACGGCACTTCCCACGGCCTGGCGGGTCCAGAGCAGAGCCTCCTCCCCCTGCCCAGCTGAGGGCTTCCACCCTCCACCTGGACGCTCCCCAGGCCTGGCTCCTCTGTCCAGCCGCCAGCTCTGCTGCTCTGGTGCCTCCTGCGGCCACGGCACCCAGCGCCACACTGCGCCACACTGTGCCACACTGTGCCACGCAGTGCCACACAGCGCCACGCTCCGCCACACTGTTATGGCAGGCAGTCTGACAGCCGAGATGACACCAAGTGGCAGCCGGCGGCATACACAGTGGGGACGTGGAGGGCGGTGGGGTGACTCTCACAGCAGCACACACGTGGGCTGACTAGAACACTGAGCACGTGAAACCAAAAAATTGCTCGTTTCTGGAATTTTCCATCTCGTGTTTGAACCAGGGTTGACTGCAGACCATGGAAACCGTGTGCGGCGACACCGTGGATGGGAGGTGACGGTGAAGGGGGTGGGACAAGGAAGGACACTGGGGGAATCTGAGGCCACCTCCCCAGCGCCCACACATCCCCAGGAATGGGGTCCTGGGCAGAGTGACTGTGGACCATGGCTGTGTGATCCCGCCAGAAGGGGCTCTCCGTCAGGTACCACCGGAAATCACCCAGTAGGGAATCCATGCTGAGGTGAGTCAGGGGACGCCGCGCAGCAGGCCAGGCCTTCTCACAGCTGGGGGGCAGCAGGGCTGCCACGCAGGGTCCCTTCCCGGTTTAGAATCCGGTGTCAGCCGCAGCCAAAGGCTCTTTTTGGCTCCGTTTCTTGTCTCTGTGTACACCCGTGTGTCTCTGTGCCCATCAGAGTTGGTAGCTGCAGCATCTGTTTTTGCTGTTGGGATATCCCGGGCTGTTTGGTTCAGTTATGGGCACATCCATCATTTCCCACCACAAATGCAGATAGATGGCTGCTCCGTGAATCTCCCCGTTTCCTAAGACACTGTTTCCATCACACGACTCTCTAAGTTTGGAATCACTTCAAAAACAAACACGTCCATCTTCAAAAGAAGAAGAAGAAGAGCAGGAGGGGGGCCTCTGTGGTCACCTCGCTGGGCAGCGGCTCGCCCCTGGGCACGTCTGACGGGCGCTCCTGCTTCTCCGCACACGGGATCCCCTCACGGGCCTGTTCTGAGCGCCGAGCGGCACGCGGCTGTGGGTGGACGGCTTTCACCCAGCGGCAGCACGGCAGGATCCCACCGAGGGCCAGAGGGCCTGGTGCGGGCACTGGGGTGGCAGCCCTGGGGCAGCAGGGCTCTGTCGGTCATTGACCCTCTGACAGGGCTACCGTGGTGGACCGAAATGCTGCTCTGTGACGACCCACGGCAAATCTGTCGTGGGCACGTCTGAATCCAGGCCAAGAGGACAAGCAGGTGGACCGAGCCACCAGGCCCGCTTTTTCTGAAGTCCAGCTGACCCCACCCAGGGTTAGAGGACTGTGGCCGAGGAGCCCGACTGGGGGAGGCCCTGGTGCGGGGGATGCGCCCACCTGCCACAAGCCGACCTTCACATTCAGAGAAGGTCTCCAAGGTGACCCCTTTGAGCCGCTCCAATATCCACCCTGGGTCACCCCTGGCCTGGGAGCTGCTGGACCTGGCCTGGCCCGGCTCCCTGCCTAACAAGGTGGGTCTGATGAGCTTTCTGACTGTACCAGTGAGATCTGACCAGGAATCTGAGAGCGGAGACCTCCCAGGACCTCCACCTTGTGCATCTCTAAGTCGCGAGGGAGGATCCAGTGGGTCCCAGGCAGTGGCTTTCAGTGCCCACTCGCTCCCACACCGGATTCCAGAACATTCCATTCCCTGAGGTTCTCGCTGTCGGTTTTCATCCGCCTCCACTTCCTGGTCCAGCAGGAGTCTCCATGGTGACCGATGGAGTTTTCCTGTGTTGCTAAGGAACAAGAGAGCCCTTTGGAAGGACCAGGATGGAGCCAGGCGAGGACAGGCAGGCCAGGGTTCAGAGCCCCCGTGTCCACACCTCTGGTCCGTGCCCACCTCTCCACCTTGCCTCCGAGGGGTCTCTGCAGAATGGCACACAAGCCGGCTCTGAGCCTCCAGAGTCGGCAGAGCCCACGTTTCCCGTCAGCATCTGGCCACGCTCACCACTCACTCCACAGCACTCACTGACTGCGGCCGGTCAGCGGGCCAGACCCAGAGAAGAGTCTCCAGGAGGTGCTGGGGAGAGGGTGCTGGGTGGTCAGGTCTGATCCTGTGACCAGGCCACAGCAGCCCCCGCCACTCCCCCCCTCAAGTGAGTTTCTGTGAAGGTGTGTGCCCTGAGTGGGTCTCCCAGGTGTGTCCCCCTGTCCAGGCCCCTCTGTGGCACCCACCAGGGTGCACGTGTCCCATGTAAATCGCACACTGATGGCCACCCATCATTTTTAGAACACGTCCTCGGGCAGAGTCCAGCTGCAGCCTTCGGGGCCCTGTGGACTCGAAGGAGCCACGAGTCTCGCGCAGCCTGGTGAACTGTCCTGCGGCCTCCCTGGACCGTGTGCCCGGAGGCCAGAGCAGGATGTTCAAGAGATGGCAACTGCAGTCGAGTGCCCCAGCGTGACGCTTCCGTCAATGCCAGCCCTGTGCGTGACGGTGGCCCTGCAGGACGAGGCTGCCGAGACCCCTGCAGCTGCCTCTGTTTGCACAGCTCACCATGCGAAGCCTGCGTGGCTCACCGTGCGAATCCTGCAGGGAACACCGTGCGAATCCTGCAGGGCTCACCGTGCGAAGCCCGTGTGGCTCACCGTGCGAGGCCCGCACAAGAAGGAAAGCGGGCAGCCCACGTGGCTCGGGGCTGACAGCCCTGCAGAGGGAGAAGGGAAGACATGACCTTGGGGAGACCAGGGCTTCAGGAGGAGGGGCACGCCCTGTCCCAGCTCAGGTGGCGTCTGGCCTGAGCCCGGGCGGAAGCAGGCCGTGAGGTATCTCCAGAGGACAGAGGGCCCCGGGGAGGCCGGGTGGAAGGGCAGCTGGGGGAGGGCTGATGGGTGAGTAGGTAGCTGAGAGGGCAGGTGGGTGGTGGTGGGTGGGTCGGTGGACGTGCGTCCAGAAGCTGACCACAGAGATCTCTCCCACCCCAACAAGAGAGGTCCGGGTGCAGGTGGAGCCGAGCTGTGCGCCCTGTGACACCCCGAGGCATGCACAGCCCCTTCCCCAGCACGTGTTAAGTCCCCACCGTTTGCTGGACCCTGATTGTTGGTCCACACAGAATCTTTATCTGGCCCCTCCTGGGCCCCTCCAGCCGCAGTCTCCGTGGCAACAGCCGGGCCCAGCAGGCACCCCACACCAGCAAGGCTCCTAATGGAGAAGGCCGGCCGTCGCCCTCCAGCCAGGGTCCCTGGGCGTGGGAGGACCCTCAGAGACCCCAGGCGCTGGCCGGACGGTGGGGTTCACGTCAATCTGTGGTGCTCACTAGGGTGCAGAGCACGCTGCCCGTGGGGGTCAGGGCAGGGGTCCTGCAGGCGCCACCAGCCTACTGCCAGCCCCTTGTGAGTCCCTCGTGTTGCCAGCCGACAGGGGCCAGGCCACCAGACCCTGCCCTGGGTGGACAGGAGGAGCAGGAAGTAAGCACACTCCTCAGCGCCACCAGGCCTGGGGCAGGCAGGCCTCCGCTGACCCTGGACCCTCACCCACGCCCTCAGTGTGTGGGTGGGGGGCTGCGCTGCACACAGGGCTCGGGAGGGGGCGAGGCCCTGAGAGAGGTCCGGTCCTGGGGGAGGAGGAGGGCAGGGTCAGAGGGCAAAGCTCGTCGGGGCACAATTAGGATGGGGTCTGGGGCGGGGAGCTGTTTTCCATCAAGTGCCGAGAGCCCCTCTGAAGTGACCTTTGGGCAGCTCTGAAACAAGAGCAGGAGCCGCGGTCCCGCCAAGGTGGTCCGACTCCATGATGGGCCCTTCCCCAAAAGGCCAAGTGACAGAGACAGAAACCAGATCCGGGCGGCCGAGTGTGGGTGGCGTGGCATGTTTACTTGTCCAGGAGCGTGTGGGACGTTGGGAAGGTGACGGGGAGTTAATTGTGATGGCGGTTACATGATTGTATGCATTTGTCAAAACCAATAGACTCGTAGAGCAGAAAAGGTGACCTCGACCGCGAGCCACCCCGAGTGACCGGCTTTCTGAATGTCTGTCAATGTGGAGGGTCTCTGCAAAGGAAAAGGGGCTCCGCGCCTCGCAGACCGTGGGGCTCAGGCCCTGGGCTTCTCGCCCTGGGTCCTGCCACCTCCCTGTCGAGCATCCACCATGAGCCCTACTGCGCGCCTTCCTCTCGTCTCCACCAGAGCAGAACGCACTCAGACCACAGGGTGCTGGTGGGCAGAGGGCGAAGGGAGCCGGCCCTGGGACAGGCACTGGAGAGGGGAGGATGGGAGGGACAGCCCCTGCGCATCCCGCACCCACGGGCTCACCTCCAGAGGGAGAGAGACGAGCAGACCCAGTCCAGGGTGGGCTGTGACAGTGGCCCTGAAGGATGGTGACGAAGGCAGAGTGGGAGACACCCAAGGGAGAGGGCTACTTGAGGTGACCAAGGAGGACCAGCCCTGACGGTGGAGCTGGAGCAGAGGCTCAAGGAAGGAGGAGTCCAGAGAATCTCAGGAAGAGCCTCTCGGGCAGGTGGAGTAGAGGACAAGGCCCCGAGTAGGACTGTCCCTGCACTGCTTGAAGGACAACGGAGGTCAGTGAGCTGGAGGGAAGGGGGAGAAAGGAGGCCGGGAGGGAAGGGCGTCCAGGTGCAGAGAGGCTCAGCAACCGAGACTGGACAGGACAATGGGGAGCTCAGAGGACACCTGAGACCCTTTCCTGTCTCAGAGAGATGGGTGGACGGACGGACGGATGGCTGGATGGCTGGACAGACAGATGAACAGACGGATGGATGGACGGATGGACGGATGGATGGATGGATAGACAGATGATGGGTGGCTGGCTGGAGAGATGGACGGACTGACCAACTGATGAATGTGCAGAGGGGATGGGTAGTTGGGTGGGCGCTTTGAGCGGGTGAAAGGACAGATGGACGCCTGCGGAGTCCCTCATCTCTGCTTTCTCCCCATGCTCCTCCTCAAGAAACCTCAACCCTATTCCCGCCTCCAAAACCCACCTGCATTTGGAGGATTCCCAAATCCCCGACTGCAGCCCGGACTTGCAGCGCCAGGAGCGTTTACCCAGCTGTACACTGGACCTTTCAGGTGGTTTTCAAACTCAGCAAACTCAAAGTTGATCCCGTCAGCCACAAAAATCCTGTAGCCACCCGCCAGTGAGGCTCCGTGTCCTCGCGGGACAGTGGACGGCCCTTGCTCCTAAGTCTGTCTCCTCCATCTCCACGGCCACCACTTGGGCTCCACCAGGGTCATTGTTTTTGTTTTGTTTTTTTTCTGGACAATTTTTCTCAAAAGTAAGTGTTGTATGGAAGAAAAACCTAAAGTGACTGTTTCTTCCCTCACCTGTAAGTCTGCGATTCGAGCCTGCAATGGTGGGGTGTGTATCGCTAAGTAAATACAGAGTAAAGAGAGGGGTATGGGGGCAAGGGGTCCCCAAACGCTTTGCTGGTAGAGTGCACAGTGACGGTGGCCTCCCAACCCCACTGTCCCTTCCCCAGCCCGTCGGTGGCTCCGTGGCTGCAGTTTCAGGGTTCCCTTCCACGTGTTGACGTCCCCGACAGAGCAGGCCCCAGCATGTTGCAGCCACAGACATCACATCTCCAGGCGGGGGGGCTTGGGGGCCTGTAGAAGGCCACTTGGCCCTGGCCCACTGCCACGGTCGGCCAGGAGTGCGGGGAGCCGGCCCCTCTGAGCAGCCGGTGGTGCTGGGCTGGGCTCTGACTCCCCTGCTCCTCCGTGAGACGGTGCTGTGCTCGCTGCAGGTTCTGTTCTCCACGGGGAACCGTGAGCCCTGTGCCATCGTGACTGGTGTGACTCACGGCCACTGCTCTTCCACTGCTCCCGTCTGTGCCCCCGCCTGCTGGCCTGCCCGGATATGGCCACCCTTAAACTCCTGGAGCTCGCCCTTGGTTTCTAGGTCTGCCCTGGAGGAGCCAAACGAGACACGTGTCCTTTGATGTGAAAGGCTTCCCCGGCCCAAAGTCCCATCAGACACTTGTCACCACGTCCCTTCATGCCCTCACGCCAGGAGCAGACCTGGGTACCCAGCTTGCTCAGAGCGGCCAATGGTGGGCATGT